TAGCAGGCAACTGTCACGAGGTCTCATTTGGAAGTCGCATGACCGGCAATTTTTAGTCCAAGCACCGAATGTGTATATTTCGCACGCACGATAGAAGTAATAATCATAATGAATGTCTCTACCAGTCTACCCATATTAACCCTTTCCCATTCTGACGACGTACACATACTTCATTGAAATGGAATCGGAAGAAAAAATACAATAATTTTGATTGGTACCAAGGCTCCCACAATGTCATGCGGGAGGGCGTGTGGTACAGTTTGGCGCCAGCTATTATCGAGTGCGGTCGTGTCGCTACGGTTCTCTGTGGTGAGTAAAATATCTAAAAATTAACGCTGAACGCTTTCGCGTTCCGGAATCCAGTGGTGAACGTGACCCACCCTGCAACTTGCAGACGTCTCGCAACGGGCAAGGGTGAATCTACCCACTTGAGCGGTGGTGCAGTGCTGAGTGCAATGAGCTTTGAACCTGGCTCCCTGAGTTTGTTCCCCAGCCACGGCAAACATCTTAACCGGTCCTGGGCCTGCCCCCCCCCCCCCCCAGACTTTACCAATCCGCACTGACCAGCGCAGTGAAGTATGGTAAACCCCCATGATCGTCATGGGGGGGGGGGGTGAGGCCTTCATCTAGCAGTAGTTTGACAGAGGTTTATAAATTATGTTTAATAATTAAAGTATCATCGAGTGAGTCTGTGTTACATTTCAGGATAGTCTAATTTATAGCTTAGATGCTAAAATGTGTGAGAATGAAATGATGTATCGTCCACATTTATTCGTGAATGGGTAATTCGGTGAACTGGATGGAAACGATCCACACAATGGTAAGTCAGTGAGAAGTTGAGATTGAAAAGCCTGCCTTTCGTTAATATTCTCTCATCTTTAATATTCTCTTCATCATCATCATCAGCCATGGTCAATCCACCGCTGGACAAAAGCCTCACCAATCCTCCGCCATCTCTCACGATCTTGCGCCGTAATCCTTTTTATCCAGGAAAATAGAGACGACACTCGATCACTTGTGTGTTCCAATACACTTTTTGTTTCCGTGTTCATTTTATTTTAGTTCATGTAGAGGCTCACACTGTGGGACTAGGCGCATCGCTGGCATCTTAGAGCAAGGACCATACGTCACGCTTTAAAGAAAGAAAAAGAAACCGAGAAATATATTCAGAATAAAAAGACAATTGTCAAGGCAGCACGAAGCTCAATCTTCTCTGCTCGAAGTGAAGGCAAAAAACCCCCGTATCGCCTTGAACAGACTGTTGGGGCGAGCGCTGTTAGCGAGAACCTATTAAGGCCGGCACCACACTACGAGGGTGTGGTGGCACCACGCCCGGCTGCCTTTGTCTCCCGAGTGGCGATGTACTCATTTGAGGCTGAGTCTACCTAGGGGAGGCCCAGGAGCGGCTCAGAAAATCGCCACTGGTGTTGGCACTTAGCGGAAATCAAACTCGGGTCGCCGGGTTCGTAGCGCAGTGCGTTAACCGCTGCACCACCGCTCCTCACAACACACGTTGCACATACACGCACGCGCATTACACGTGCGTGTCTTTCTCAAACTATATTCGCACCGACTAGGGACAACTTAAACACACGACGTGCAGATCTCTTGATGCTTCGGGAAGTTTGTTGCTGTCTTTTTGCCTCTATTCTGGGGGTCCGCGTTGACTTGGTTGAGACAGTCGCAATGTTTGTTTGCGGGCACAAAATGGATTTGCTACTTCTCAGGACCCTGGGAGTAGGTGAAGGTGGCGGCTCGGGGAGGAGGCCTTCATCCAGCAGTGAATTGGCCATGGCTGGTGGTGATGGTAATGAATTCGTTTTTTTTTAAGGAGTCCGCATGAGCATTGAGTCGTCCTTAAAGAGCCGGAAGCATTTCATATTTACAATATTTGGCCGAAATTAGTTTGAAAGCATTACTCCCAAACCACGTTGTATGTGTGTGCGCACAATGATACAAAAAAAACGTGTCCAAAAAGAAAGTACGAAATACCATACAGAAAAACATTCTTGTATTTTTTTCCCACATAAACAAACACATTGCAGTCACATTGTTACAACTCTTTGATATGCCAAGAGAACTGTGGCGCTCCCATCGACCGCTTGAGACAGCGGCTGGTCGCCGAGCGCGCCCTCTGTCCGCTCGTGGGGACATTCAAGATGACCCTTCCCCCCCCCCCGCCGCTCACACAGTCCAGTGACAGTCGGCCACCCGAACCACGCAACGGACCGGCAGCGGCCAACGACTGCACCAAACCACGCCCGCTCTCCGGCAGGACCGGACGGTGTTATTCGCGCCACTCCCAAAAGCTATTATCCCGTGGCTCGCACACTTCAACCTGGACGTGCGCGTTACACGTACTCGCCATGCTCTCGAACAGTGCTTATTCATCATCTTTACTGCAGGCCTTGAACGCCGTTGGTTCCCATTCGTTAAAGTGTGTAATAATGTTAATAAATACATGGGTTTGGTGAAGCAAAGTAATTGGACTTACATGCCCCGGCTTAATTTGTGTTTTTAATGGTTTAGCTTCTTAAAAAAAATCTGGCCACGTTCTCGCTCCCCCAGAAACGGCATCTCGCACCCCAGGGGGGTTGCGTGCACCCCAGGTTAAGAAGAAGAAGAACCACTGGCCTAGAGAGAAGAAGAAGACGTTGCCATGGTAACGGACAATCTTGTGTCAGTGCATGAGTGAAACGCCAACACGTGCAATGAAGGTGTGCACGAGGAGCTTGACGCGAGTGCATGGCCACGCCTGCAAGACGATGATGATGATGATGGCGATTGCTCTTTTTCTCTTTTTTTAATGGGCAGTGACAGGGCCCATCGGCAAGCGGGTTCGCCTCTCGCTGCAGATGATCACGGATGAAATCCAGTGGCCGCCCTGGTTATTATTGCGGTGCATGTACACGTGTTGAACTTCTTTCGCGCCGTACGTAGCCGACCGTGCTAATCGGAGGTGCGCACCGTCTGCTTCACTCACAGTGGCCCATAAAATGATCGACTCGCGAGATTCGCAAGAGTAGGTCAATGTGTAAGTCTCATCACGGGTCAAATTCGCCAAATAAAAATATATATATATATACCTGCAAATTACCCAATTGGGATAATGCATACCAATCATCATCATCGTTATCATCACATCCTCCTGCGAAAACTTGGCAAGACCCTCCTGAAAATGAGTCACGAGACTCGGCAAAGGCTTTTCGGGGTAAACAAGCGCGATGATAACCCTAATAATGATCCTCGTATTCTTGGTTCTTGCAGTAAAGTCACGTAGGTGTGAATGATGATTGCTTGTGTTGCAGTCGAAACGTCGTGAGAATTTGTATTGTTTAATATTTGTATTATTTTCATTATTTCCCTTCTACGTGACTTTACAGAAATAACCAAGAATATGAATCCCTGCAGTCACGAAAGCTTTAAATCGAAATTTAATGATCCTCATGTTATGAACCGAACCACGTGTGCAAATGCATGTCCACGCTGCTAAGTGCTCTAGGTTAATAGCTGCCGCACATACGTGCGTGCGCACGTGTGCACGCATGCTGTTTAGAGGACACGCAGAGTGCATGTGCAACAGGTGTCCCGACTTTATAAAGTGCAACGCAGCAAAGTCAGTGAACTCCCCCCCCCTCCCTTTCCCCCCCTCCCCCCACAACTTCTCGCTTCCTCCCAACAGGCGTTCCAGTGTTAAAACGATACCACATGCCGACCTACATTTGTATCCAAATTCTGAAGAGGCTTGTGGGAGCTGTGCAACGCAGATGTATATCGAGACCGCAATATGTGCCCCACATTTAGACTATTAGCTACCCCCAAGTGCGAGTGCATCTGCGTGTTTATTTTTGGGATGTATGAGCCCACTGGAGACCCAATTGTTTAAACATTTTCTTTCAAGATGAACGCTTTCACTTGGGTTAATATTTAGAACCACGGCCGGCCTAAGTGTTGCATAAAAAACCGTGACAGAAAATTTGGATGGATCTCACCCCCCCACTCCCCCCTCCAATCTCCCACCGCGTGTGCCTCAAACCACCAACACGTTCCCTGCCACCACCACCACCACCCCCAAACCATTCACCTCTTCCACAGCCAAAGCGCCTTCTACGACGACCAGGTTTGCCCAATTTCATCGTCAAACTATTCCTGTTACCGTCAAAAGGAACGATGGGGGCGGCGGCGGCGGCGGCGGCGGGAAAGGTTTGTGCTACGAACCCGTCGACCTAGAATTCTATTCTCGGCCACGGATTACCGCGGAACCAGCCCTGGACCCGTCACCAAATTCCTTCAGGACCCCCCCCCCCCCCTCGCAACGTGTGGTCAGGTACGGCGAGAGGACCGCCGTGACCAACACGCCGTGACCAACACGGCGTGGGGAAGCCCTCACCCAGCAGTGGATTGACAAAGGGGGCATGGATTGTAATTGATTTACCGATTGGCAGAGACGATGTTCAAATGTGTGCCTGTATGTGTGTGTGGGCCACCACTAGTGACGATTGTATGAACCGGTCCCGGGACTCTGCTAGGTCGACTCAGTCTCAAATGATTACCTGGTGCGATGTTTAAACATCGCCACTGGGGAGACAAAGGCGGTCGGGCGTGGTGCTGGCCACCCACCCCCTCGTGTGCCGTGCCGGCCTTCATAGGTGCTCGCTAACAGCACTGGCCCCAACAGTCTGTTAAGACTTTGCAGGGGATTTCTTTGTCTCTCTTTGTTAAACTAAACTTTTATTTTACGAGGTAAAGTACATTATTAGAATGGCATGGAATGAGGGGGTAGTGTGACTCTAACCTAAATACTGTACGTATCACAGTTTAAAAAGCCACCGGTGTTATTACTTTAGCGTTTTCATTTCCTACTGTATGTGTGCCTGTCCGTTGCCGCCAGTGATTTTCCAAGATTCAATTTCATCATCCTGCCACGGGAAGGGGGTGGCCTTAAGTTGCACTGCAGAAGCCATGGAGGCAGCGGCCAAAAAGTCACCAACGCAAATCGAAGAGCTCTAGTTTTATTTTATTTCAAATATAAAACTAATTCTGGAATCGGTCAGTTGGCGCTGATAAAAAGGGGGGGGGGGTAACGTCTAAAAGGCCACCACTTTGTACTTTGTTATCCATCTGAGCGCCTGACATTCATGTCTGCGAAAAAAGATATTTGCAGCTCATCGAATTTCTTCCAATATAAATGAAACATTCAGATTTTGATGTATAAATAAGAGTTTAAATTAGTCACGGTTGCTTTGCCAATCCACTGCTGGCTGAAGTGCGTGTCGTCTGTGGGGGTTGTTTGACCATATTTTACCTCCCTTGCCAGGGAGGGTTGCTGAATGTGTGGGGTGGGGGGTGGTGTGTGGAGGGAGAGCCCGGGACCGGTTCAGATGTCGACTGACCTCAGGTCACCGGATCCAGATAACCATTGCACCACCACTCCACACACCGCCTGAATAACACCGCAACGGAAGAACTCGCGCGCTCCCCAACAACACTGCCTTGTGCACCGCTGCCAACGCAGCATCGCCAAACGATTCGCGTAACGCTACAATGGCATCGAGGGTGCCTGAATTTGAATGCCAAAATAACGACAATATAAAACGATCCCCTCTCAAAACCACCCACTGGTGTCATCATACAAAGTGCACCGAACCTGGCAACATTTTTCCTCCAGAGTCCCAAATCTCTCCACATCGGAGCCGATTACACGAGTCCTCAGCCAACTACAGGAGTCCTCAATGCGTCTTCCTCCTCCTCCTCCTCCACATCCTCCAGGGCACAGTGTTCCTCGGGGTGACGGTAGAGCTTCCGCTTGACGATCCTGAAGCCGCCGCTCAGCCGCACCGTCCGCTCCGCCGAGCTGCGCTCCGCCACCAAGCGCCGCAGGCACGAGCCGGGGGGCAGCAGCAGCGGCAGGCGCAGGAGAGCGTCGCTCCAGCGCCACGCTCGCTCCCGGCGCAGGAGGACGGTCACCTCGAACGTCGGCGCCCGGCCCGGGTCGAGCTCCAGACGCGCCAGGCACGGCGCCGGTGGAACGTCACGCGACGAGGAGGACGACGAGGACGACTGCGGAGGGGCACTGTCCAGCGGCGGCAGCAGCAGCACGTGAACCACGGCGCCGGCCAAGCCGCAGGGCTCGCGCTCAGCGGCGCGCACCACCAGCCGGGCCACCCGCTCCAGGAGGCGCTCGGGCGCCAGGATGGTGTCGCAGCGCAGCGGGCCCGACTTGGCGGCCGCCAGGCCCGCCTCGAGCCGCGACGCCAGGCGGGAGCACGCGGCCGAGAGGGACGCCCCGTGAGCGGGGCCCGGCCCCAACCACGAGGGGTCGGAGGCAGCGGATCTGGACTCGAACCCATCGGCCCACGGGTCGCCAGCGGCTTCGAATGAGTCGAAGTCTGCAGGAACAGGGTATCGTCATCGTCGTCGTTATCGCGTGTATGTTGAACTTCTTTCGCAACGTACGTAGCCGACCGTGCTAATCGGAAGGACAACAAGCTAAACACCACAGGCATTTCTTAAGGAATGAGTTTTCTATCGAGATTTAAAATGGCATGGCTCCAGTGACTTTCTAATATCGGGAGGAAGCGCGTGTAGAGTGAGAAGCGAGAGGAAAGGAATGGCACAAGGTTCAGGAATTTGCAATTGGTTCTCTATGTCATCGTTTTTGTCTTTTGTTTCACGAAATTGTATAAGACTTTGTAAATCCACTGCTGGATGAAGGCCTCCCCACACCATCACAGTGTTTGCGCTTGCGTTCAATTGGTAGACACGTCAAGCCGGTGGTGTGTCGTCGGTATTTGCATGATAGTGCTCGAGTTCAGTGGGAGCCATGCACAGGTGAACCAAGAATGCTGAAATCGCAACGATGGAAGTTTAATAATTCCGGGAGGGATTTCACTATATAACACTAATTGGAAACGCATTCTACATACGTTTAACAATTCCCAGATTTCAATTCCAGAGATTAATTGTCACAGGGGGTTGTTATACCTGGGGAAATGTATAAGATGTATTAATAGAGAAATGGGATCCTGCCTAAAAACATAATGCTTAATTAAGAGCAGGGATTGATAATTGGGTAGCAACGTTTGCACGCAACTACACTGATATATAGACCGTTAGGCTGCAACCTATTCATACATAAAAACTCGTTAAAGTGGCATTTAATTAAACATATGTATTTAGCATGCAAATAATCACACCGTGGCTCGTATGCGCAAACAATTTGCATAAGCAATGCAGAATTGTCGTTGCGATTTTACCGCAAAGGGGATATAAACAGCAGCCTTCATTTGCATGTGCCCGTGCTAAGCGTGTCACGAGACCTGTATCCAATCTCCCGGCTTCTCTGATTCCCGAGTTCTTAAATTGGATCCCCACACAGGGACACCGAAGGCAGGCGAAGTCTCACGTGCACTTGGCAAAATATGCCGAGTGAGTCTCGAGCCCTGAGTTTTGAGTGTCTATCCATATTCTCTTGCCAGTGGCAGACATGTATTAACTCTGAGCTAATTAGAATGTCTTCAGATCTCGTCAGATCTTGGAAGCCAAGCAGGGCGAAGCTTGTTTAGTGCTTGGATCGATGACTGGTTGGGAAAAAAAGGTGTTTTTTTAAGCATGAGATGTGGGATTGCTATGAGATCAAAGTTAGAAATGTTTTTTTTATCTTTCTGTGTGGAGCTTTGAGTGTCACCGGGCATTCGTGGAATAAGCCAAACAATTCATCCAATGCAGGAATCCGACTGATAAACAGACTCCGTGAGACTTTTCGTTTGCAAACAAAAGGGCTTTGCTATTGGTATTTATGGGACAGTTTAAGTGCAGGTAACGTTCGAGCAGTAATTAAGCTTGCTTTGTTATTACAGCCCAAGCAGGCATATCATAATTTCGTTTAGCATCAGCCATGATCAAACCACTGCTGAAGGCAGGCCATTCTGCCTTCATCATTTTGCAATTTATTATTGTTCAATATGAGAAACCTAAGATATTGTTACTTATTTCAACAAGCTTAATCTCGACTCGGCCGTGTATATGGCTCTATACGAGTGTGTCGTCCTCTGGAAAGGAGCGTTAGGTTTCACGGATTCTATTACCTGAGAAACATGAGTTTAGAGTATTTGGCTGCCATACATTTCCACTTCGTAGAACTATCAATTGTGGCCAAGTCGCTCCTGAAACAGAGATATATAGCTCAGCGGGCCTTACTTGGTGAAATAAAATAGTTTTGGTTTGACCTTCGTGCAACCTACGACACTCATAATTCCATGGGCCCGAGACCAAATATTGTACATCTTGGGACCACCTGAGATTGATTAAACTTGAATAGTAGCAACATCTTTGAATAGCAAATAAAGTTGAACCATTCAACAACGTTATTTAATAAGTATGTCATACTTCACGACACTGGTCAATGCGGGACCATTCTTTGTCGAGCCTCTCACCCGGGGTGTACCTAGCCAGGATGGGTGCCCCATACCGCAGCATAGCTACTCAGGTCTACACACCACTCAAGCCTCCCTCGTCGAAGAGGTGTTATATAAATCCACCAATATGAGCGTTTAGTTTTGGTGCCGTTTCTGAATTTGTTTATTCATATTTTATTCTGCTTGGTAGCAGGGTTTCCATTTGCTTGGTAGTGGCTGTCTATGGGATTTGGTCTCCAACTATATAATTAATGTACAGCGTTACATGATGCCATGAGCACGAATGACACTAGAAAAAATGAAAGTATTATTATTATATACAGAATATGTTATCGATAAACACGCATTGACCACCATCTGCGGTACCGAATTCTGGATGTGTAGCCCATGGACTACACATGGACAATTGCGTGGCGGTGGCATCTCAGTGCATTGCTCCCCTGTGGTGTGCGGGTCCATGTCAGCCGCGGTACTTTTCCATTGCCTCCAATGCACGGGTAGCTCTGGCTTGTTGGGGAAGCCTACGGCTGCAGTACACAAAGTGCCCAGCAAAGGTGGCACGTGTCTTTTTTTAACACCCTGTTTAGCCAGAAAAACAATCTCGCGGAGTCTCAAGACGTGTTTTTTAAGGAGGGTCCTGCCAAGTTTTTGTTAGCAGTTCTGGGCGATGGTTTCTAACTCTATCCCGATTGAGTAATGTGCGGAGTAACTTTGACGCCGAAACACAGTGGCCCGCTCTTGCGAATGGCATCAAAGCGGGGATCTTTAACGTCCACTGTGAAGCAGGCGGCAGTATTAATTAGGGCGGCCGCTGGATTGGCACTCTTGAAAAAAATCGGCGAACGCGCCAGGGCTATGTCAAGTCACCGCCCCGTGGTCTCCAGGCGGATGAAAGTCCAAACCCAACGACTCCACCCCCCCACTGCCACCCACACGAAGTTTCAAAAGCAGTGCAGTGGTAATCCACAATGCCCATTTGCTAAACAAGCCCTCGGACTAATCGCATGGCGTATAACGAGGATGCAATGTTTGTTAAATTGTATTTTGTAAAAGCAGCTGTTAAACCGATGAGTACCAGGAGGAAGTCTATTGTCTGTGTATTCGGTGTGAAATGTTTCCTGGAATTTCATTAACCAGATGAAGCCTCGCCGATGCATCAAGATATGTAATTGAATAGCGTCCAGGCAAATACGTTGTTGACTACCTTTGCGTGAATAATTATGAAACCGGATCGAGGCCACCCACGCACACACAAACAGGCGGAGAAACACTTTAACGAAGTGAAGTATAACATCCTTAGAGCCATAGAGTGGAGTGTACTCCCCCCTGCCTGCAAAGAGTAACCGCGTCTTCGCGACCCACTAAGCGGATGGAAGCCAAAAACGCTGTACAAAAAAAAGTGTTCATGCGGAGCTGCGTTAAATCGCATGCCGCTTGGAATCGAAGAAGAGTTTAAGAACCCGTGGTGTGTATATCATTGCCGTGAATGCGTGAAAGTCTTGCGAGCTTCAAGATCGGTAGTTCAACTCACGGCGCAAATTCTGATCCGCCTTGTGCCTGCCGGGCGCGATGTCCATGCGGGATGTGGCTGCCTCTGCTGCTGCTGCGTCGGGGATGATCGATTCGCGGGGAACCGGCGACTCAACCCGAGACCGAAGCAGCACTTTGGGAGCTCCGGGCAGCCGCGTGGAGCGCTCTTTCCTGCAGCTTCCCGCTCCCTTGCCGTTGAATGTGGCCACGAGCGTGCTTCCGAAGATCATCTTGGCCGTGACTCTTCCGATGTTATTTGCACAGCGTAGAGACGAACACACACACAAACACACGCACAAACGCGTACCCGCTCGTGCACGATGGACAGCGAGTGGTGTAACTCAGCGGGGTGAGGGAGGGAGGGAGGGCGTCAAACTGCTCGAAGTTATTTTGTTTGTGCCGAGCCCGCTTAGAAGTCACCCAAACGCGGCGTGTCGTTCCGTTCGCTCGCAAAAGTTAGCGACGCACAAAAAGCGTCCCCGCGCTTTCAACGCCGGCCTCTCTATCCACGACACACACAGACACAGACACCGCCCTCTCACGCTCCGTCCCGATCCTCCGGTTCACCGCCTTCTCGCTTGCAGCTCGCTCATAGAACACTTGGCAGCGGGGGCTCTTAAATACTAGAAGGATGCGCGCAGCAAATCACGTGTGCGCGCACCACCCCCAATGCACCCCCCCCCCACCCAATGCACTGAACTCAACCCAATCTACCCCCCCCTACCCAATGCACCCCCCCCCCCACCCAATGCACTGAACTCAACCCAATCTACCCCCCCCTACCCAATGTACCCCCCTCCCACCCAATGCACCCCCCCCCCACCCAATGTACTGAACCCAACCCAATCTACCCCCCCCACCCAATCTACCCCTCCACCCAATGTACCCCCACCCACCCAATGTACCCCCACCCACCCAATACACCCCTCACCCAATGCACCCACCCAATGTACCCCGCCCAATGTACCCCCTCACACCCAATGCCCCCCCTCCCCTCTCCCGTTTCTCCCTCCCGTCACGGTGTTCTTTACGCCCGATAGGAAACCCGCTGCTTGACCAAGCCCCAATAATCAACACGCTCAAACTACATGCTCACTGACACGCTCCGCGCTCACTACATGCCCCCATACCACGATCGCATTTCGCGATTATTATGATATACTAATTAATTAATTGATGATTATAAATAATACCCCGGTGAAGGCCTCCCAACGCTGCGTCGGTCATGGGAGTTGCGTGACCATACTTCACCACGCCGGTCACTGTGAGTCGGTCGGGGGGTAGAGCCTAAGACAAGTTGATATCACGTGTCACTTATGTTAGCCTTGGCTGGGAATCAAACTCCGTTCGTCGGATTTATAATGCAGGACGTGAACTAACCACTGAGCCAAAGCCTCCACGCCCTTATACTATTTTTCGATTTAAAGCTTTCGTGACTGCAGGGATTCATCTTCTTGGTTCTTTCGGTAAAGTCACGTAGAAGGGAAGTAATAAAATAATAAAAATAAAACATAATAAAATAATTCTCACGACGTTTCGGCCACTACGTGACTTTACCGAAAGAACCAAGAAAAAGCCCTTATACTAATTCACAATCAACCCATTACTGGATGAAGGCCGTGGGGGTTGTTTGACCATACTTCACCACGCTGGTCAGTGCCAGTTTGTGAATGTGGTTTGGGACAGGAGTGGTTTAGACATCGCTCGCCACCGTTGGTCAGGAATCAAACCTAGGTGGCCGGGTTTGTGAGGTCGCGTGAAAACCACGACGCCACCGCTCCACCCTCACGATATCACACGGCAGTAGCGCCGATTTATTTAAAGATGTTTGTCGTTCCGCTTATAACTTGAGAATAAAAACGTAGAACAAGAATTGGCAATACAGCGAAAACAGCACACACACACGAACATATTGCCCCTTCCATAAAACGCGTTGGATTGTTGAAAGGGCACGACCGGGTAAGCAGATACGAACGTTTCGTTTAAATGATTGTGATTGCTCGCAAGAGACGCATATGGATGGTTGGCTGAATAACACAAATTTTCAAAAATCGTTACAGTCTCGCGGCTCTTGATCTATTTAAAAGAAAAAATGTTTGTCATTCCGCTTTCAACTCGAGAACTAAAAGTAGCACGAGGATGGATTTGCAGATACCGAAGATTAGCTGGGACACTCAGTCCTCCATTAATTATATTAATACAACAACACAAATGTTGTCGTTACTCAGGCACCCTTTCAAATCGTTGGCCGACTCCCGAAGTTGGGAAACCCCATACAGGCCCCCACCTCGCACAATGCGGATGACGCCATCAAGCCCCACCCATCACCTCCCGTCTAGCAACACATGTGGCAACATAAGCTTGATATTTTTATTTCATAACTCACCGTATATAAAACGTATAATTGTGCAAACGATTACATTGGAGTGAGGGGAAGAGATGTGAAGATGGTAAGCGATGTTGGAAAATGAGAATTAGATCATGTCTTCGTTAAGGTGATATATATAGCATGCTGAATTTAATTGTTTCAGTAATTTTAAATATCTTTATCAAGCAAAAACAATGAACAATATATTCTATCCACTGGGAATATATACATTTAATCCGGACAACTGGCCTTAACAGAGAAATGTAAATGAGACATCACATATGCTTGGTTCTTTCGGTAAAGTCACGTAGAAGGGAAATAATAAAATAATACAAATAAAACTATAAAATTCTCACGACGTTTCGATTGCAACACAGCAATCATCATCGTGACTCGGTTATCCTGCTTGACCACCTGAATGTGAAATTGTATCTGTTGCTCTGCATCAACATCAGCCATACAAAAGTAAGAAGAAGAAGTCATCTGGTTCAGAATGAATGTGGAAGCTGATGGCTCGGAGGTCAGCACACTGACCTCTCACCATTGAGACCCTGGGTTCGAATCCTGGATTCTGCCGCCTACGATTAAGCCGGCTTCTCAAGTGTCGTGAGTTTATGGTCTCAGCCAGGGGCGGTTTCTTCATTAGGGCGATTGGGCGACGCACCACCAATGCCATTCAACCACAGAGTCACGCTAGCCGTCACTGTGCCTCTGGATATAGTCCAATCAGCGTCATGTCACGTTCTGTGGAGTACCGCCTCTTTTTGGGCGATTTCACTCCGGCTGAGAATCTCTCCGAGTGGCCCCATAGACTTACATTCAAAGATGTTTTTTTTCGACCGGGGGGCGCTGCAATGCATTCTCTATGGCTTCCGGGAGGGCTCGCCCTAACGTGCTTACGTCATCATACGTAAGCACGTTTCATCCAACAATATAATTTGTCGCCACCTAGTGGAATCTTTAATAAAAGAAACTTGAGTGGATTGTATTAATAGTGAGTATAGAAACAAACAAGATGTATTGTAAGAGTCACTTTATTTTTCATTAATATTAAATAAGTGAAGTTGCCTTTACATGCTTAAGCTGTTAATTTATCCATTGCATGGGTGGACCTTATCCTTATCAATCATCCAGACATTTGCCCCCCCTGAGAGATTTTGCAGGAGCCGCCACTGGTCTCAGCCCAATCATCAAGGACGACGTGAACAACAGTTACGTAACTAACTTTGTTTTAGAATGCATTGGGCTAAATTCCAACTATAAGACTCGGCATGAATCTCGTTGCGATAAACTCAGATCTCATAGAAAAATCTGAAAGCGCATACACACCTATTGAGTAGAGGTTAACAATGCCACACAAAGCATGTTTCCAGTTCTGGGACCGCCTGAGCGTTGCAAGGCAGGGGTTGCAATATTCGGCGAGAGTCCAACATTGATTCTTTGTCCCACGATACCGGATAGCACGGTGAGAATACAATTTGAGACCTATACAAAACAAAAGTGACCAAACATGTTTTTTGTTCTCTCTCTCAACATGTGAACATAAGTATAATCGGCGGCAATGAGCTACTTTCTGTGCTTGGCGTGGTAGCCAAGTTACACAGCACAGAAAGTGCACGCATTTGAAACTTTAAGGGTTCTCATTCGAATTAATTCAGCAATGAAGGCACATCGCCTCTGTGCATGTGTAAAACCGACGCATGGAGACGCTCTCCATGCGGAGTGAACTTCATCCAGTTTCAAAAGTTGTACTTTTAAGTCCAGCTGGATTGGAACCCAGATGGGAACAATGAGTGATTGGTATACTGGCTATCGGAGCTGGCTGCCAATTGCTCGCAGAGCACAGGTCCCACTCTCCATAGGCAATACAATGCGAGGATTAAAGCCGTTTAATTGTGGAAGGAATCCTCGGGCTAACAAATGATGCTATTTCAGACCAACAGTTGAATGTGGACTTGGGACAGAGAATGTGCGAAAGTTGCCAAAATAATCTCGGTCAACATCTTCTCGCCAATCTCGGCTTCATCCAAATTACTGCAGACACTTTGATTATGTAACACGAAATGAGACTCTTCGACTTATTTGTCCAAGACGTCCTTTGAGGCCGCCGTAACTACCAATAAATACTGTGCCTTTTAAACTCAGGGCGTAGGGTTTCGGGGCTCTGCTCAACAGCCCTCCGATGTGATGTTTTTTTCAGATCGTACCGCGTGATGTCCGAAGTTTTGATTGCCCATGCTGGGAGTTGCTTCAGGAATTGAGGAAAAAGATCGGACATCGTGCCGAGCAATACGCAGTACAACCCGAACAGATTGTTTTGTAGGAACAAATAAATATCTTCTTGGTTCTTTCGGTAAAGTCACGTAGAATGGAAATAATAAAATAATAAAAATAAAACATAATAAAATCATTCTCACGACGTTTCGGCCACAACGCAAGCGTCTCTGTCTAATCGACAGACCTGCTCTCCACCTGAGGACGGCTGCTTGCGTTGTGGCCGAAACGTCGTGAGAATTATTTTATTATGTTTTATTTTTATTATTTTATTATTTCCATTCTACGTTACTTTACCGAAAGAACCAAGAAGATGAATCCCTGCAGTCACGAAAGCTTTAAATCGAAACAAATAAATAAATAATAAGACTATTTACATCCATTGTTAATGCCCTGCAGGATTAAGGACTCCCCACCGCCACCTTGCTCGCAGGGAGCATTGCCCAGATGCACTGCCCTGGTCAGTTGCGGCTTACAAATGATGGGACCCAGACCTGCTTCAGACATCACCAGGGCTTGCCAGGTGTTGTAGGCACGAGGCTACGAGGTGTGACCGGAAGATGACAGTGCTGAGTGTGTGTCCCCCACCCAGCCACTCGTACACGTTGTGAGTTTTCTCCAAGATCTCTGGTCTCCTTCAACACTGAAGCAAGCCACTAATTCGTGGTGTTCGCCAAACAATCATTGCAACCCCTCCTGAAGAAGCCTTGAACCCCAGGCAGGTTTTTTTTCACGGAGAACTATTTCGCGTTATAGTGACGAGGCCTTAATAGATAATATTCCAGTGATTTAGAAACACCCTCTTTCGTCTCAACAGGTGGTTGAAAATTGTGGAAGCGATAGCTTCCGTATCGAAGAGAGAGGATGTTAGCGCCTTCGAAAACCGTTCTCGCCGACGCGATTCACACCCGCTTGAGCTTTGCTGCGTTCGAGCAC